GAAGCAGAGGTTACCCCAAGGAAGCAGAACGAACAACATTGCAGCCCAAGCGAAACCTGGCAACGAGGCTACAACGAGGCTCAGTTTACGTCGTTTTTTGCACACGTCTCCAACCCCATGTCCATGACCGAAGAATGTCCTAATATCAGGTTTAAACTTTAAACTTTAAACTGCTAGTACCCGGCCCCAGCCTTGCAGAAAAGAAACTCGTCGCCTGCTCTGAAAACTTTGGGGTCGGCCCGGTCGGGTTGCCCTTGATAAATTTCATCAATGGCCTTTGTCGTGTCTCCGGCCTCCGAAAGTCGCAGTCAGGGCCCGCAGCAGCCGATATACGGCCGTGTACTGCGGGCCTGAGTGGTCTAACTGTAGTGATACCGCTCAGGTCCACCATCATGTTACTATGGTCGTGCTGGTGCACCATCATCACCTCCTCCTTTTCCTCTCCTCTACATCAGCATTCTTTCCCTCCTTCGCTCTCTTTCCTCCTCTGCTTCTCCTCTTCCTCTTCTCCTTTTCTCCTCGTCCTCCTACTCTTCCTCATCCTGTTGCTGCTGCGTTTTTTTTTTTTTTTTTTTTTTTTTTTTTTTTTTTTATGCTGCAGTTTTTGGCACTGGTGGTGATGGAACTAAGTGGTGAATCTGCTTTTTTTTTTTTTTGGGGGGGGGGGGGGGGGGGGGGGGGGGGGGGTGTGAATCTGCTTATTATTAGTTCCTTGTAATTTCTTCTGACGTGGAAATGCATGGTGAAAAACAAAAAAACAGGGTGGTCATTATACATTTTTTTTTTCCTTGTGATCTCTCCTGCCCTGTGGCATAATAAAGGTATCGATGATTCCATATGGAGTTCTACGAGAGGTGGACTTTCTGAGGCGAAAGAACGATTTTCGAGGTCATAAAGTCTTTGCCTACTGGTACATGATTCATTATTCAATTTCAATTTGCCGTCATGCCTGCTCGGGTCCGTTGAACCTGGTCCCTTTTTCCTATCCCTCAGTACGATTCCCCTGCTCAAGTTTTTTTTTTTATATAACAAAACCGTCTCTTCCATTATCAACATCACGAATGAACTGAGGCCGGGGATCTTACAATTCAGCCCGGAGTCATCCCGGCAGCGTCAGCCAGCTTAGCTTATGAAATATACTGTCTCGAATGCAGATATGATAAACCTCTTCACTCTTAGAGAAGCTAATAGTCACCAACCTCCTGCTTGATTGTTGCAAGAGCGATTGGTGGGGAGCGACACCTGCTGGAAACCGGGTCCAGCGTCCCTTGAATACAACGATGCAGATCAGTGATGAGGCCATAGTCATTGTTCTGTTCTACTCTGCAGCACCGATTATGAGGCTGTAGTCATTGTTTTGTTCTACTCTGTTCTACTCTGGAGCATTCAGTGTCCCTTGGAGCTGCAACTAGTCCCGTTCCCATTACAGTGCTCCCACTTTACATCTTTTTTTTTTTTTTTTTTTTTTTTTTTTTTTTTTTTTTTTAATATTAAACCCAGCTGGTTCTGCTGACCCAGCCCCACCTGGAAGTTGTCTACTGATCTTCCCAAGGCTACTCCCAGGTGTCCACAGCCCCCCTTGTGTTTCTGGCTGCATTCTCCCTGCATTCTCTCTACGAGATTTGACTACAGGTGATAATCTTAAGCTGTTCTTCGGCCCCTAAGACAGCCTGAGTTGGTGGTAGGAACACACACGACAAGCTGACTGTGGGCGTCTTCATGCAATGGTGAGGCCTCACTCCACTACTCTCGATTCATCTCCAACGCCGAGACTGAATTGAGAGTTGTCAGACTCTCTCTCACTTTTTTTCAGCTGTCATCCTGTCGATTAGCCACACTCTCGAAAAACTTTTTCCGCTCTTCTTCCCCCCCTCCCCCCCCCTCTCCTCTTCTTCTCAAGACAAAAC